GCTTGGAAGAGTCCAAGCCTTACAAAGGTTTTCATAAAATTGTATATAGTACAGTTATAAAAAATAGTAGTTAAAAACTATTTTTATGCCGGATAAATTGATAAATGGGTGCCAAATGACTTCCATGGTTATGAATTTAGAACAAATAAGGTTCTGTAGTGTTTTTTAAAATGTTCTAAGATCAACTCTTGTTTTCTTTTAAAATTACTGTTAACTTTTCTATCAATTTTAAAGTTATTACAGGAATTCGTATGATGTTACGATAAAGTTGAATGACGTGTAGCATACTATCGTATTTCCTTGGGATACGGCCACATTTTAAAAAGAACTCAACAATGTTCTCAACAAATAATTTATTTCACAAATCATATCAAATATCTCCCCTTTAAAATTATAATCTTTATATAGTTTTGGAAAGGAAAATGGAATAAAAAAGAGGGGAAATATTATTTAAAAAATGTGGTGGCATACCATACATACTTATATGTATCTTATCTGTCAACAAATTCTTGCATGAAAAATTTAACAAGTAAAGAGTAAATATTATTTTGACCTGATTAGAAAAAAAAGGCTACAAAAATTCTCTGAATCCATTTTAAAATTAAATAGAGATAAAGTTAAGTATTTTAAAATAAAATTTGAGACTTCGAAATTTTACAGTTTTTCAGAATGAATCTAAGGTCGCAGACAACAAGATAATTTTTCATTGAATATAGGTTTAGAAGAAACAAAAAGTTTTTAATAAAAATTTGAATTCAATTTTCGCTGAACATAGTTTAGAACTAATAAAAAATAAATTTTTTTATAACTTTTTAGCTCAAATAACTCTTTGTTAAAAATTTAATTACGTAAGCATAGACATGCTTCTAACCACAATAAGGGGTTTTTCCTTTTAGTTATCCTAAAAACCTTTCTGATCATATTTTTTGTAAGATTAAAACATTTTTCTCTAATGGTTGTATCCACAACCTCAAAATCATCTAAAATTTTGTTTACGAAAATAATTTCTAGACAAACTAAAATATGTTTTAAAAGAGCTAAATTATCGAGTAGATAACTTTCAATGTCAAGGTTATCACAATTTTATTCTTACTAGAATTTCTTTTGTAGAATCAAACATAATATCATTAGACAGTACACACATACTTACATAATCATTTGCCATCCTTTTATCTGTCATATTATGACTCCTCAGTTTACATCTCTTATTTCTTACAATAAGAAAAATAAAATTATAACAAATAAAAATTCTATCCTCCTTATGTATAAAATCACCATTTAACATGATATTTAATGTTTTCACTGAAAAATAAATAAATAAAAGATTCGAATGATCGTACTTTTTAAACTTCAATCGACTGTAGAGTGTATACAGTTCTGTAAATTCATTACTTTTATATTTGATCAGTTCTATCTCCTTCATAATTTTCTTAATATAATATTCACGTGAGATCATTTCTAAAAATGTATTCGAAACCAATTCTCTGATAATTTTATTAAGAAACAAATAAATATTCTTACATGATATTATTTTAGTTACTCTTTTTAGCTTTTTTTTGAAACTTTTTTGATCATCGTTATCAAAAACTTCATACAAAAAAGACTGAGAAGCAGGAGAAGGATCGAAATGATGTGATTCTAGAATATCAAAAGTGGTCATAATGTAATAAAAATTCTGTATTCTTTGTTCGAGAAATATTTCATGTCGTAAATTAAGTTCAAAGGATACATGAGTCACATCAAAATACCTCTTTAAATAAAATGAAGATGGACCGAAATTCTTAAAATCATCTACTTCGACTTTATTTATCTCTAAAAATCTTTCGATTTTTTCAGTATGTTCGCATATTTTCTTAAAAATTTTATCGTTTAGTTCTTTAGAATGTATTACTTTACTATTTAAAGTAGATATTAGATCATGAGATATTTCGTTTTCATTAACATTAAGATTAAAGGGATTATTTACATGATATTGTACTTGATTATTATTGTTTTGTACAAGATTTTGTTGAGGAAATGAACTAAGTATAGATTGATTTGCATATGCAAAAGAAGTGTCTTCGACCGAAGTCATTTCACCGTCTTGAACTGTATCTGATGGCTTTGAATTTGTTCGGTTAAAGCAGGTATTATTTTGTAAATCGTAACCAAAATTATAAGATCCATTTGTTGAAATAGACGTAAAAACAGTATTTTCACTATTTCCTATCTCAAAAACTCTTCTTTGATCGTTATAATCTGATTGAGATGAAATATTAATACTCTTATTAATACTTCTGGACCTTAGACCACCACATAAGTTGTTTGAGGGTGCACTGTATGTCTGATCGCTGTCATTATATGCATGCTCAAAAATTATTCTTTTTTCTTCTTGATGTTTATTATCATATATATAATCGTTCAAAAATTCAGCATTTTTCTTTTCATAATCTGGGGCTACACCGATACTTTCAAATATTTCGTGATCAACAACATTTATTGGTGTGTAAGAAGAAATATCATAAAATCATCCAGATAATTTAAATAATCAGCTATTTCGTATTCTAAAGATGATTTTGTAGAAGCGTTATCTTGTTTTGAAAAAGCAGAAAACACTCCTGACAAGTTGAGAAACTGAAGCATGGATAAATTAACTAGACCGTTTAAATAATAAATTTTTTTTATTAATTTTCCCATATTAGGTGATATTTTTAATGTGATTTATATAATTCATAAAATACAACAAAAAAATAAATCATTTTTTAAAATAAAAAATATAAGAGTTTATAAAACTCAACAAATAAAGTAACAGTTACATATAACTTGATACTACATTTCTAAAATTATTTTGTTTAAGAAATTTCTAGAAGAATAAAATTTTCTAGAAATTTTAACCCCAAGAAAATAATAATTAAAATAAATGTCTTTCTATAAAAAACATGTTTTTAAAAGAGAACTTATCGGGAGGACGGTCGACGCCAGGTTGAACATAGTCGAGACATTCCTTGAGTCAGGTCGCATCCCCCGAGATTATGTCACACATATTTCTCTATGTTATTTTATTTATTTAAAACAAGTTATATACGGCTAAAAATTAATTTGTTTTACTATTAATAAGATATGCTAGTTGAGGGTATTTTATAAAATACAAATACAAATAAGAATATCTTACAACAGCTATTTATTTCATGTTGCCCGTCAAGAGAGCCCATTTAAACATCATTTCAGGAGTAAAGACAGTCAGACTTAAAAGACAAAACTGTGCATAGACTTAGACTCGAACACGTGAGTATTAAGGAATCACGTTTTTCGCCCCAAGCAAACTGAGAGTTCATTAACAATGTGCTATTAAAGATTGTCGTAATCATTGGTTGTTTACAACAGGGGTTCACAAATCTGGGGCTGCGGACAAAAATGGGTCCTCGAAAATTTTGTTGAGGTTCGCGATAAGTTTCTTTTAATGAGCAACCATTTGATTTTAAATAGCACAAAAAGTATGTTTTTTTTTTTTTTTAACTTGAAGCTATTAAATGATTTAGAGTAAAAAAATTATTAAGGAGCATTCAGTTTTCTATAAGCTAAGCTTTCCAAGTATGCTGAGATGTAATCTACCCTTTTCTTGCTGTGTTTTCTCGATCTTTTTCTTGTTTTGTCTGCAATAAAAGTTATTTTATTTTAGGGGCATCAATATGTATAAAAGGTTTGAATTTTCATTTTTATTTATTTTTTTAACCCCTATTTTTCGAAATGTTACTGCAATAAGCGAAAAGATAAACATTTTAACACGCCAAATTGTTAAAAAAAAAGTAGCAAGAAGATCTAAATAATTTTTCTAGAGTGTATCGACATCGTAACTCATTTTCAACCCCATTCTTAAAATGGGTAGCTCTGCTAGTCATCAATATATATAAAAAGTTTAAATTTTAGAAAATATTTATTTTTTTAGCCCCTATTTTTTGAAATTTTACAAATTTTACTACTATTAAGCTAAATATAAAAATCTTAAAAAGTAGAAAGATATATTGGTGTACAATAATTGTAATTTATTTTTTTGAGGTGTTAAATAATTCATTACTTTAAAAAGTCCCGTTTGAAACGGGATAGCTCTGCTAGTCTTATTAATAAAATTTTTATTTTTGAATTTTTAACCCCTAAGATTTGAAGAAAGTAGAAAATGACAAAATTTATTAAGCGTGTATAATCGCTTTAAACGTTTTGTTGTTTCAAATTTTATGTTTAAACATTTTTTTGACCATTTTTATGTGTATTTTGTCTGTATTTGATGTCTTTTTTGTAACTTTGTATTTCAGCAAGTTTTTCTTTAAAAATAAGAACATAGTACACAAAACTTATAAGTCAGGCTAAATCTTATGTAGTCATATCTTAACAGGACCCGTTTCAAACGGGATAGCTCTGCTAGTCTTATTAATAAAATTTTTATTTTTGAATTTTTAGCCCCTCAGAATTTGAAAAAAAGTAGAAAATGGTTAAACGAATTAAGTTATAATTATTGCTTTAAACGTTTTATTGATTCAATTTTTCTGTTTAGTTAAGGGGTTTAAGCTTTTTAATGGGTACTATGTTGGAATTAAATGCCGTTTGAGCGACTTCGGAAGTTTACTAAGTGTTTGTTACTCAGAGTCAGAAAGAGAAAACATAAAAGTTAAAAAAGAAGACGGCATTAGACTGTGGAATAATACTTCAATTAGTCCCGTTTAAATCGGGATAGCTTTGCTGGTCATCATCATATATATAAAAGAATGTTTCTTTAATTTTCTAACCCCTATTTCTGATAAAACAGTAAAAAAAGTTTTAAGAAATGTAAAGTAATTTTCATGTCTTAAAAACATCATCTATCAGCATTTTTGTATTTAATTATGTATTTTGACAATTTCTCTGTATATTTGGGTCTAATTTGAAGTCTTTTTGATAATTTTAGAATATTATACAAATTTGATTAATTTCTTCACAAAAAAAAATTTTAAAAAAAGCTTTCAAAGAAAAAAAATTTTGACCCCATTATGTTTACATCAAGTCAGCAAAATAAAGATTTATGTGAACTCAAAAGTAACACATGCAATAGTATCTCTCGCGAGAATAACAATAATACAGATAACATTGTTAATCTGTTTAACAATAGTGTTACTTTTAAAACTGCTTTAAAAAACCACAAAAACAATGGTGACGAAAAAATTAGGATTAACAGCATATTTAGTTTCGTTTGTGATGATGAAAATCTGAATTCTGTGTCTAGGACTCTACCAAGACTTGAGAATGTACAGAATGTTGAAGAACATTATTGTGGAGTGTTAGATAGTAAGTGTAAATTCTGTGGAGCATTACACTTTCCTGATGAAGCTAATAGAGAGGGTCTCTTTAAAAGTTGTTGTCATTTTGGCAAAGTAAAGCTGCAAAGGACCAAGAAGTATCCAGAAATGCTGCAGAGTCTTATGGCTGGGGAGAATGATCTTAGCAAGAACTTTAAGACTATCAGATCATACAATTCAACATTATCTTTTGCTTCAATGGGAGCAGATACTGAGACAATAAGCAATGGTCCATATTGCTTTAAAATCCATGGACAAGTATACCACAATGTTTACAATGTAAACAATAACTGAGAAGGTGATGTTAAGAAGTACTCACAACTCTACGTCTTAGACACAGAAATAGCAACAGACATTAGGTTACAAAATGGATCTAATTTCAAGTGTGATAGGACATTAATGAAAGACTTAGATGTTCTTTTAGGAGAAGTAAATCCCTATTCAAATTCATTTAAGAATATGGGAGAGGTAATCAATGAACAAGTTAGTGCTGGCAATGAAGTTAAAGATTTAGGATTGTTCTTTAGAAAGAATTTATTAAGAGACCAAAGAAGATACAACAATCCTAGAGCAAATGAAATTGCCATAGTGTTTACTGATTCAAATGGTGAACCTCCATTTGAACGTGATATTAAGGTATACAATAGAAGTGATGCATATAATTATACACGTTTGAATATTCTAAGTCCACATCTGGATCCCATGACATATGCTATCTTCTTTCCACATGGAGAGTCAGGATGGGAGCCGAATCTAGCTCTTAGATCATATACCGGTGAATTCAACACGATATCTCTTCTTCAATACAAGATAGCTCAACTCAAAATAAAAAGCGGTGTTTTTAATCCATTATTACATGGAGGAAAATTACTTCAACAGGGGGCTGTTGACTCTTATTTGCAAGTTGAGGCAAACAATCTTAACTTCATTAAGTTGAACCAAAAAAAGCTAAGAGTAGATTATTATAAAGGATTGGTTGACTATGTCAATAATAATTCAACAGACACATCAAGACCCATATTACTTCCATCTACATTCCAAGGATCTCCTAGGAATATGAGGGAAAGATATCACGATGCCATGGCTATTGTGACTAAATATGGGAAACCAGATCTATTTATTACTATGACTTGCAATCCAAATTGGAAAGAGATAAAGGAGAACTTATTTAAGGGACAAACTCCTTTTGATAGACCAGATTTGGTAGCTAAAGTTTTCCATCTCAAGTTGAAAGTAGTCATGGATGATATTCTATCTGGCAAAGTATTTGGAGAGGTGGTAGCTCATATATATTCTATAGAGTTCCAAAAACGTGGACTACCTTATGCTCACATTTTAGTTATCCTAAAGAGTAAAATTAACAGCATTAAGCAGATAGGTAACTTTGTTTCAGCAGAAATTCCAGATAAAACAGATTAGATTCTCCACGAACGTGTCCTTAAGCATATGATACATAGACCATGTGGAGAAGCAAATATCACCAGTCCATGTATGGAAAATGGAATTTGTACAAAGTCTTTTCCAAAGGAGTTTGCTGAGAAAACAAAAATAAATAAGGATGGCTATCCATCTTACAGAAGAAGCAAGAATGGTAGCTGTAATATCAAAGGGTACAATGGTACTAATGCAAATGTTGTGCCTTATAATAAGTACCTGCTTGCTAAGTTTAACTGCCATATTAATGTCGAAGTTTGTACTTCTATAAAATCAGTCAAGTACATATTTAAATATATTTACAAAGGATATGATTGTGCAGAAATACAAATTACAGACAATAATGAGATCGATCAATACATTAATTCTAGATATGTCTCTGCACCTGAAGCTATGTGGAGACTGATGGAATATAAGATGCATGATAGGTCTCACAAGATCAATAGACTTCCGGTACATCTTCCAAGAGAACAGATGGTGGTATTTAAAGAAGGTAGGGAAGAAGAAGCTGTTAGAAATTCTGATTTGCAACAAATTCAGCTTCTTGCTTGGTTCAAGCTAAATGAGGAAGATCCAGCAGCAAGAGATTACTTCTACAGTGAGATACCTCTTCATTATACTTATGTCAAAGGAGTATGGAAAAAAAGGAGAAATGCATACAGTAAAATAATAACAAGACTGTATGCTGTTCCTCCTTCTTACAAGGAAAGATTTTTCTTGAGACTTCTCCTCTTAAATGTTAAAGGAGCAACATCATTTGAAGATCTTAGAACATTTAATGGTGTTGTATATCCTTCATTTGAGGAGGCTGTAGAGGAGAGAAGACTACTTATAAATGATAATGAGTGGGATAGGGTATTAGAAGAAGCAGCTAATACTCAACCACCTGTTAGCATAAGACATTTGTTTGGATATATCTGTGCATTCAATCAGCTAAGCAGTCCTCTATTACTCTTCGAAAAATATTATGAAGACATGATAGAGGATTTCAAAGAGATAGATAATGCAAAAGATAGATTATTATCTATCATTAAGGATATAGTAAACTCACATGGTTGAAGTATGAATTCTTTAGGATTACAAGAACCATGTGTATATATCAGAGAGCAAGTCGAGCAATCAATTTCAAATTCTGAAAATGTACAGACAATGATTAGAAGTTTGAATTCGGATCAGAATGAAGCGTTTAATTTAATAATTGAACACATCGATAAGAAAGGCAGTCTATTTTATCTTGATGGTCCAGCTGGAACAGGTAAAACATACCTGTATAATGTGCTTTGTTCTTATCTTAAAAGCACAATACAGTTAGCAACAACTGGCATTTCTGCTGATTTACTACAAGAAGGAAGAACAATGCATAGTGTAATGAAGTTGCCAGTTCCTCTAACAGAGTCTAGCATATCTAGACTACAAAGAAATACTCCTAAGTCAGAAAGAATTATCAAAGCATCATTGATTCTGATTGATGAAGTTTCAATGATGTCTTAATTTGCATTAGATGCAATTGATGAAGTTCTCAAAAGGCTTATGAGCAATCCGGATATCTTTGGTTGAAAGATGATCCTGCTGGGTGGTGATTTCAGACAGACTTCAAACATAGTCTTAAAAGGATCACCTATGGATATTATAGAGAGTTCACTATTGAGTTCTAGATTATGGAAGCATTGCAAAGTATTAAGATTAAGTGTTAATATGCGTGCTTACAACCAGTCAGAATTTTCTAAATAGTTGCTTGAAATTGGCAATGAAACTTCAAATGACGCAAATGATGAAGTTTTTATTCCAGATAAGTATATAGAGAAGCATGATTTAGTTGGGAAAATCTTTGGTCAAGCGAAAATTTCTCAAAGTGATCCTTCTGTTCTGGATAAAATTATACTTACCACAAAAAATGATCATGCAAACAAGATCAATGAAGTGGTGGTACAGTTAGTAGAAGGTGATTCAAAAAATTATGTGGGTGCAAATTCAATTGTGACTAAAGATGCAAATGAGTTTATGCGCTTCCCACTAGAGTTTTTGAATAAACAACAGCCTTCTGGATTGCCACCTGATAAGTTAAATCTTAAAGTTGGATCAGTTGTGATGTTGTTAAGAAACTTAGATCCACAAAATGATCTGCTTAACGGAACTAGATTGTGGGTCAAGGAGCTAAAGGAGCATTTCATTGTAAGTGAGATCATAACAGGAAAGGCAAAGGGCAAAATTGGTGTTATTCCAAGGATTGATATGCAACCTAGCGATACACTCTTGCCATTCGTTTTGAAAAGACGACAATTTTCTGTTGTACTTTCTTATGCAATGACTATTCATAAGGCTCAGGGATAGTCATTTGAGAAGGTTGGTGTGTATTTACCTGAGCCATTATTTACACATGGACAATTGTATGTGGCTTTGTCTAGGGTAAGGCATGAAGACAGTCTTAGCATATATTTAGGTTCTAATGGTATATATAAGACAAAGAATATTGTCTTTAAGGAGCTTTTGCAGAAAAAGACATGAATAAAAAAAAATTAGAAAGATTGTTTTTTTTTTAGAGCACAAATGTATGAATTTTCTTGAGGAAAAAATCACTAAAAATTATTTTATGAATATGTAATGAACCCTTTTAAACCGTTTCTAGAACGGGTACCTACAACTAGTCTTATTAATAAAATTTTTATTTTTTAATTTTTAACTCCCAAAAATTTAAAAAAGTAGAAAATGACAAAAACAGTTAAGCATGTATAATAGCTTTAAATATTTTGTTGCTTTAACTTTTATGTTTAAACGTGTTTTTTAAGCATATTTATGTGTACTAAGTTTAATTTTGATTTCTTTTCTATAACTTTAGATTTTTTAGTACTTCAAAGTACAAAAGACTTAGTTAAAAAATTGGGCAAGAACAATTACATGTACAAGAAACAGTACTCAAAAAGTCCCGTTTTAAACGGGATAGCTTTGCTAGTCATCATATTAATAAAAGGATTTCAAAAAAATTTGTAACCCTTCCTTCTAAGAAAAACGAAAAAATTTATATCAAACAAGTAGATATTAGTAATTGAAAGGTTTTAATAATAGAATTTTTGGTTTCAAATAGGTTTTTAGAGCAATTTAATGGGTAATATGTTTAAGTTTGATTATTTTGTGAAAACTTTAGATATGAGATATGATTTTGAAAAAAAGAGCAAGAAAGCCACGCACATACAGAATTTTGAAAAACAGATTGAAAGAAAGGGTTCAAATTTTCACCATTCCCGTTTCAAACGGGATAGCTTTGCTACTCTTATTAATAAAATTTTTATTTTTGAATTTTTTACCCCTAAGATTTGAAAAAGTAAAAAATGACAAAAATAATTTAGCGTGAATTATTGGTTTGTATGTTTAAGTAAGTTAAGCTTTACGTTTAAACATGTTTTCTGAGCATTTTTAAGTGTATTTTGTTAGTATTTGATGTCCTTTTGTCAACTTTGGATTTTCAGTAAGTTTTTCTTAGAGAATAAGACAGAATACATCAAATTTAAACTAAACTAGAATAAGACAAATTATATCTAATATAGTCATATCTTAACAAGTCCCGTTTTAAACGGGAAAGCTATGCTAGTTTAATTATAATTTAAATTAATTTAACACTATTGAATCGAACAGGATATTTCTTTTAACCTTATAGTTATCGTTTCTAAAATTTAATTTTGATGAACAAAATTAAGTTAATGCAAAAGATAATTTATTCTTAAGCTAAAAAATTTTCAAAAAAGGGGGCCGCGAAAAAATTCTATCAAAAAAAGGTTGAAACCTCTTGCCCTAGAGTGATAAATTCTTGAATTAAATAGTTTTTATGTATATTGCTAAAAAAAACAGCTTGAAAGTGTCCAGTTCTTACGTGTTAAAGATAAATCTATTGAATTAACTTTTTAAGAGCCAAACCAAGTTTCTTTAAACCTTGTTTTAGACGATTATTAAAATAAAGTTAATCAAATTTTATTATTCTTTAGTTATTAAATTGTCTAGTATTGATAAGTCTTTTTTGATTATATAGGAATAAAGAGCTTCTGATACCTCTATCAATTTAAACTTGTTAATATCTCTAAACCTGTTAAAATATTTAGAAATGTTATCCTTTGAAATGTTTTTACAATTTTTTCTAGTCTCAACATCTTTTATTTCAAAATCATCCAAAAGTTTATTTATAAAAATAATTTCTAATGAATAAAAGATATGCTTCAGAAAATTCTTTTTTAATATCAAAGTATCATAAATTTTTTTAGGGTCCCCTCTTAAGATTTCATTCATTCTTCTTTTCTTATCTTTACATATTAAGTAGTTTGAAATAAAACATATACCGTAATATGTATTCTTCATTGATTTATTAGTGATCTTGCTTCTAACTTTTGAAGTCTTTTTATCCAAAATAAGAAATATTAAATTATAACAAATAAAAATTCTATTGCCTTTATCTTCAATATCAGTATCTAACATCATGTTCATTACTCTTGTAAGAAAATAAACCATAAAAATTTCATAAAATTCATACTATTTAAATTTTAAAATGCAATAAATAGTAGTTAATTCTTTAAATTCATTATTTTTAGATTTAATCCTATCTACTTCCTTTATTATCTCCATAAAAGGGCTTGCCTTAGTACTAAATTCCTTCTGAATGCTTTCAACAACCTTTCTCAAGATAACTGAGATGTACAAATATGTATTCTTTCTATTAATTAAACTATTATTTCTCCTTAACAATGTAGACAATAACTTTTGGTTACAATTTAGAAGTACTCTAGTTAATGTAAATTCTGACAAGTATTGTTCTTTTTCCTCAAACTGATAAGATTTTTTTATATCGAAACTTGAAATAAAATTATAAAATTCTATGATTTTGTTGTTAATAAATTTCATGTATGATTGATCGATAGAGTCTACTCTACATATGGATTTTGAAGTTATATTTGAATAGTGTGAAAATGACATATCTTTTTCTGCCCTGCTATCTAATGTTTTTTCTAGATCTAGTATCTTGAGAAAAAAGAGACAACGGATGTTCAATAAAGTTTTCATATTTTTTAATAACTATGCTACAATTGTCCATGGTTGTCTCTAAACTATCTGTATCGAAAAAGACAGGTAAATATTGAGCAGGACTAAATGTTTCTGTAGTAAGAAAAAGATCATTGTAATTTATTTCGGAAAATAAATCTTCTTCGAGAGTCCTAAAATAATCAGAAGAATTATGAATTCCCCAGTTCTCTTGATTAGATAGATTAAAATTGGTTAATGCTTGTTCTATTGTTTGCAATTCATATATTGGCTTTTCTATTAAACTTAAGGATTGGTTTACCAAAGAAAATACTTTAGGGATGTTTTCATGCTCAAAACTATCTTGGTCTTTGGAACTAGTACAACTAATTGATACTTGTTCATTACAAAGTGTTGTAATCTCTCTTTCTTGCTTGTCATTGCATTGTACAATGTTTAAATTATTTGAATTAATTTTTTTAAACTCAACAAACTGACTTGATTTTAATAAACTATTATCTCCGATTAAATCTTTAGGTAAGCAAAGTGCATTGTATAGTATGGGATACTATAGTCTCTCTTCTTGAATTATTAAATTGCTTTCTTTTAAACAAGATGTATTAGGCACAAAATGTCTTTCTGCAAATGAAATCACAAATTTTTCTAAATCCTCTATTGGCAAGTACGAATTAATATGATTTTTATTTGAACCTGCATAATCTTTTTCAAAAGTACAATCTATTTCTACAAGACACAGTAATATGAACATGGTTATAAGAACTCAAAACTTTATAAATTTTTAAATTAATATTTCTGATGTTTTAATAAATTTGTCTTTGATATTAGACTTAATACAAAGCAAATAACTCTATATTAATAAATCGCTAACTCCAGCTAAACTTTTTCAAAAATAATTTATCTATCCAATTATCCAAGGATACATAATGATATTAGAATGTGATCATGAAATCAATCTTATAAAAAAACGATTTTTAATCATGGAAAATAACAAATAGATAAGTTAGAAAAAAAATTGTAGAGTGTTTTTTACAAAAAGAATCAACTAAAAATATAAATTTATCAAGTATTATCTGATTTTATAAAACAATCTTTGAAAAATTATTATTAATTAATTCTTGTTATTAACGTCAGAAAATCATTGAATCTGAACTACTTCATTTATTTTTCTCAGTCTAAAACAAGTGAACAATTATTTCTATTATTTGTTAAAGAGTCCATCTTATATTTGATACACTATCATGTCTAATTTTCAAATCCAGAAATGTTAATGTTTAACCATTGGTGTCAACATTTTGGATTAGGAAAAACTTTTATCAAATCAAGTTATTATGTTGGTTGTTTACAACATGGAATTCTAAATAAACTTAATAATTAAGAAAATTACTTGAGTCCAACAGTTTATAGAAAATAAAAAAAATGATCATAAGTTATCAAAGCTATGCTCATTAGTAGTTTTTCAGATATGTAAAATATTGCAACCCTTCTTATTCTATGAAGTATTATCATGTTAGTAAATGTATTTTTCTTAAATTCTATTAGAATTTTTTCAAATAATTAAAATGTTTGTCTTGCTTTGGTATGGATTGCATCGTGTAAAATATTTTAGAAATATTTACGTCCCGACAATGTCATTATTCAATGCGCTTATCATTGTTGTTGCGTCGCTGCAAGTTATTACTTTATTCCCTCGTTCGTTGAAGAGTTTTATAAAATTTCATAAGCCTATAATTTAAAGACTACCTAAAAAAAAGATGAGGCGCCAATAATTAATGTAATGAATAGAATTACGAAAATGATCATTTTACAAATATAGTTATTAAAGAAAATTTATTGCAAAAAAAACAAAATAGACGAAGTTGACAAAATTTCATTTCAGAATGAAAGGGTGCTATAAAAATATTAAAAGTGACCATAGCTCAGCTGGTAAGTTACTGATCGAGAGGATAATGATGATAGTTCGACTGCCTCTGGCTGCTTAAAACATTAAGAAAAGACATATATATTATTTCTTGAGAATGGAAAAATTCTCAGTGTAGTGAAAGGGTTTTTTGGAATTACGTCTTTTTGGAAGCTGCAGGTAATCCTTAAAACAAATGGGAGACGTGAGTCCTATCATTATGAGTTTGTAGTTTAAGCGGGTGTGTTTTAATAAATTAAAGATAAGAATCGACTACACCGGAATGATGATAGTTTTCCGGTCTTAAAACAGACTTATTAATGCTGTATACTGTAGATCTAGATGTTCAACATGGATTTAGGCAGGGCTAATGAAACGATTTTATAATTTAATGGGTTTAATATTTTTTGAC